TAGAGAATCGAGCCCCAGAACATCTTGACACAAACGTACACAAAATTTATTGGTCACATATTATCTAAAATATCTTGTAAGATAATATGCAACCAATAAACTGGTTTTGTGTAACACAGAGTTCACAACTGGAAAGTACCCAGTATATGTTACCTATATTATAGCACTTCTAGTAATAGAATACACCCGGGTGGGGAATCTGAACATAGGCTTAATCTTTAAGCCGTAATAAATTGATCAATCACAGTCGATTATTTTACAAATAATCAACTGTGGTTGGTCAGTTTCTTACGGTTTAAGAATTAAAGTTGTGGACAAGGGGGTAAACGACCATGGACGTAAGAATACGTAAACGGAGCGAAAAGTGCGATTATAGACGAGGAACTGTGGGTTAGGCAATATTCCCGAAAAGTGGAAAAGATAATGTTGGTATCAACGAAAATCTCTATACGATATAATTTAAAGATTCTTTTCTTTGTAACCGCACTGCTGAATTGGTGCAATAAATTGAAGTGAGGCAAGTATATGTTTTCTCATTTTAACCTTTTGCATTTGTTCAGCAGTGCAATTACAAAGGATCAGAAATTATATCGTGTAGAGGTTTTCCTTGGTACCAACATTATCCCCTCTATTTTTCGGGAAACTGTTGCTTAAGGGTACGTTCCGATGGAGCAAGAAGTAGCGGAACGGAATAGTAACGGAAAAGAAACTAGGTGAAAGGCAACCAATAAGAATGATTTCGCTATTGCTCCGTTCTGTTGCTTCGTCACCAAGTTTCCCATGGGGAATATAGCCGAGTCGGCGCCTCACTGTGATTGGTTCATTGAGAGTCGGCAGTCGTAGTCGGCAGTCAGGTCGGCCGGTGCAGTCGGTAATCTGATACGGGCTTAAGGGTCAACGCACAAGCATATCCGTAATGGTGCAGTCACACGGACGGAATGTTTGCGCAATGTGGAATTGATGGAACGTAGCCTGTCCAATAGCAAGTATTCCGTCAAATGTGTTCCCTTATGTCACATGGAGCGGAAATCACGGAAACGCAATTGGCGCTTAGCCAATTACAAGTATATTTCCCATAGATCCTTCTGTTGGATCTATCGGAATAATCTATATTATTAGCAGATGCCAATTACGCTTCCGCGATTTCCGCTCCATGTGACATTAGAGGATGAAATTCATACGGATTGGAATCACAAAGCTCAAATAGACTTGGACCGCCATCCACATGTAGATGATGAATTTCTTCGTCAAATGGTCGTTGAAAGTAGGAGTGTTTACATAAATCGAAGTTTTGTATAAGAATATATCCACATTTTTTATCCTATACAATAATAAACAATTATAATTTTACACTTTTAAACGATGTTGATTAGATATTTGTTATTATTAACAATATTAAATATTGTTCTTAGAGATCTCTGTTGCACATTCGGCATTTTCGTCTTCTTCGGTATAAACTCTCCTTCTTTCAAACACTTATCAGTTACCCGCTGCATCGCTTACGAACATATACATGGTTATAAGTAATTCCGTCCAATTCGTGCGGATAGAATATAAACTTGCGGATCGACTTAAACGGAACGAACGTAAAACAGGTTGAACCAATCACGAGCGTTCCGCCTATTCCGTATTGCGCATACGTTCCGTCCCATGTGACCCCACTATTGCATGTTACGTTACGTTAAGTATTGACAATACAATGACCATATCTGTACGTAAACTTAAACTTAAGTTAACGCACAAAGAAATTCGTAAACTTAACATGTTAGGATGTTCTTGTGCGGAGGTTTCTTCCTTACGAGAAAAACACCCAACTTTTGGTGTAAAAATACTCTCGAAAGAACCCTTAAAAGTTTAGTGTAAATTCGGATCATCAATTGACGATCAACACCGAGATGATGGTTAACGTTAAACAGAAACCTCATATAAGTATAAACCCTAAACGGAAAAATATATCTTGTAGAAACGATCGCAAGTTGTCAGCTTATGTTGATTTTAAACAAAATTTAGTTCTTTTATTTGATTTCTCACCATTTTCACAGCTAAAAATTTAAACTTAAGCTGAAGAATAGAACTTAACCAAGAATAGAAGATTAGAATATTGCTATAGATTTATGTATTCCAAAAGACTATAAAAGTGACACCAAGTTTTATCTTACGCAGAAATAACTAGATTTCAACCGATTGAAATATAAGATCGGACTATGGCCGGTATTCATAGCCAGATCTTATATTTAAAATCATCTTAAGTACTGTCTTAAGATGTCATAAACCAATCACAGAGCCGTATTCGCAATTTAAGACATTATTTAAGACGGTCTTGAAATAAGATTAGACTATGAATACCGGCCTTAGATTCCGTATACAGCCAGAAAAGTGAAACCAAAATGTACAGCCCCTCTGTTCTCTGTTTCTTTCTGCACAGACAAAGTATGTAATAAGATTTAAGTAAGACTTTTGCTTGCCAGTCTAATCGAAGTGCCATTGCGCTTTATAATATTATAAAAACGAGAATTGGATGTTTCGCAACAAAAAAAAAAAAAAAAATAAAAAAAATAGGGAGAAAGTTATAGCCCCTCTATTCTCGCTTTCTTTCTCACTCAATTAGACGATAGAACAAAGGGTGTTCGGAGTCCATGTATACTATGGTCGGTATTCATAGTCCGATCTTATATTTAAAATCATCTTCGCTGCATTTCAAAACTCTACTCGACGGGTGGAATAGCATTTAATTGATCAATAAGAACAAAGATAACTAGGATTTCTTTATCATGATTAGTCAATTAAATGTACTCTGACTACCGAGTAGAATTTTGGAACGCAGCCCTTAAGTACTGTCTTAAGATGTCAACCAATTACAGAGCCGAATTCGCATCTTGAGACATTGGCTTGGTTTACATCGTGCACTTGATACGCGTATTAAATAGTAACTTTCTATTATGTAATATTAATATCGACGATATATATAAACAATTAGAAGTATTAAGATGATATAATACTCTTCAAGAAAATGTATTGTATTGATTGAATGCGTTGCCGTTGATATGCATTGTCAATATTAAGATTATCTAATAGAAAGTTACTATTTAGTACGCGTATCAAGTGCACGATGTAAACCAAGCCTATGGCCGGTATTCATAGTCAGATCTTATATTTAAGGCCGTCTTAAGTTTATCTTCAGATGATGAACGGATCATTTCATTGGCTATGGAGTATCTAAAGATGAACTTAAGTCAGTCTTAAAAATAAGACCCGACTATGAATACCGGCATATGAATACCGGCCTGTGTCCATGGGCTCGATTCTTGACGGTATGCGAATGAGTATGTGTACATGCGAAAATGTATAGTTCACGTTACGTATATTGTAGATTTTCGCATGCGTATCTCAGGCTGACGTCCCATGGGGTGGAAATTCTCCGCGGAACGGAATTCGCGGAACCAGTACGACCAATCACAGCCGTTCCGCTTTTTTTTTGTGCCGTTTCGCTATAATCTTACCGCTGCAATTTTGTGGAAAAGATAAGGGCCATCACACACAAAATTACATAGACGCATATGCATAGCATAAGATCGTATGGACCAATGAGCATCAAATATTAAGTCGCCATATTGATGATTGATGCTTATAATATTCGATGTTTATTGGTCCATACGATCTTATGCTATGCATATGCATCTATGTTATTTTGTGTGTGATGGCCTTAAAGATAGTCGCGGATAACCTTAACATATCTTACATATCTCATTTGCTTCTTATACATTTATGGTTGCGTTCCGTTTCACGCATTAGGGCTATCGCACACAAATTGACATAACTGCATATGCATAGCATAAGATCAATAAGTATCAATCATCAATATGGCGACTTAATATTCAATGTTCATTGGTCCATATGATCTTATGCTATGCATATGCGTCTATGGGCGCATTCAGTAGAAAAAGCGCTCAGTGAGCAATCAACGATTATTGGTTCTTGCTATTAGATCCCTAAATCTAGACCAATTACATTGACAAATTACTCAACTGTTGTGCAACTGTTGAGTCTGCTGAATTTAGCCTATGTAATTTTGTGTGTGATAGTCCTAAGGGCTATCGCACACAAATTGACATAACTGCATATGCATAGCATAAGATCGTATGGACCAATGAGCATCGAATGTTAAGCATCGAACACCAATATGGCGACTTAATACTCGATGCTCATTGGTCCATACTTATGCTATGCATATGCGTCTTATGTAATTTTGTGTGTGATGGCCTTTATGCGCGCTTTGTCTACAATATACGTAACACGAACTATAGATAAATGCGCGCATATGCGTGAAACGGAACGCGGCCTATTATTTATATATATATTTTTTTTTTTCGACATTTTTTATTATTTTGTTTATAAATGATGAATGGAGGGATCGTAAGTAATAAGATGTTAATATTTTGATAATTGTAGTAAATAATTATGTATAATATATGAATATGTTAATAGAAAATAAAATGCGATCATTGCCACAGTCAACAAAAATCATATAATATATTCTCCATAATTAATCACAATAGATATCACTTTATTATACTACATAATGTATCACCGCAATTCCGCTGATGTATCTTTCCTTCTGTCCCATGAAGCGGTAAACGCAGTAGCGGAATTATGTTTTAGCCAATCGTAAAATAGTTGCATATTTTCGTAAAAAGTATTTTACTGAGAAACTAATCTTACTCTTTACTAATTTATCATATATTATATTATTTATATAAAATATTACTAAAATATTACTAAAATTATTAAAAACGTAAGAAATAACATTAAAAAGTCTACTTTTTGTATTATTCCGCGTGATCCGCTTCCGCGTATTCCGCTGTATGGGACACAAGGAAAATAGAAAAAGCGTCGGAAGAAAAGCGGAACGGCTGTGATTGGTCATGCTAACTCCGCACATTCCGTTCCGCTGAAAATTTCCGCTCCGTGGGACGGCGCCCTCATTCGTACATCGTCAAGAATCGGGCCCCATGTGCTAGGCAACAGATAGGAACAGGGCATAGGAATTCGGATTGGTCAATTATTTCTATTCCCTGTTTCTATTGGCTAATGTCTATTTTTATTGCCTGTAGCCTGGCATTGTGTAAGGGCCTTTAGAATCAATATGGTGCTATAACCTCAATTGACAGTTTTATCAACAAAACAATTCTAAGGACCAGCGAATGCTGGTCCACTGAATCTCCGTGAAAGCTTGGTAACCTTAATTATAATGTTGGAACTATGCAAACATCGGAAAATACTTCAACAATGAAAGAAAAATAACCTATAAACAATGAACATATTCTGTGTTCTGAATTTCTATAACGCCAGTGCAATGAAATGGATCAAGCATCCTGAGAAAGTGTCTTTTAATTGCTATCACACTTAATTTTTACTTGTAAGTAAATCGCGTCATTGTTTTGAGTAAGTATTCTTTTGTCAAAGAATTGTTACAAATATCGTAAGCAGAGCCGTACTCTTTTTAACTGAATTAGTGCTTCACTGGAACATCATTCTTTTTTTTTTGTTACTAACAGACTAGCTGTGTTTTTAGTCTTCTTTGTGGAATAAAATGATTATATGATATGAATTTTATTCTTCAATAAAGAATAATTTTATCAATCTTGTTCCTTTTCCATTCATCATTAGGTTATATACTTTTTTTCTTCCAATGTATAACGAAGAAGCTTTTCAGTAAACACAAAGTTATATGTAACATACAAGTTAGTTATAATTTCCTACTCAACAATGTAACTGTTATATAATATGTTATATAACAGTTACATTGTTGAGTAGGAAATTATAACTAATATATATATGTTAGTGTAACGTGTAACGTTGTGTTCACTGGATTGTTAGTTTTATTTTATATACCACTTTTAGATAAGAAAGTTATATTACTTATTTTATTGGAGAGGCACAAAGTAATTAAAGTTACCTAATTTAAGTAACAAGAACAGTTTTCAAGACAAAAATGACAATTTACTACAGATTAAATATTTTAGTTTCAGAATCTCCCTTGTCTTGTGACTCTGTAAGAACTTACCTAGAAGACTGACATAGATCTCAATAATGTTTGTGTATCTGAGCAAGAAGATCTCAATACCGAATAACTTTCGATTAAATTGCATAGCATGGAATCAAAAAGACAGCTATATTGCTGTCGGAGGGGAAGATGGACTTTTGAAGGTGTTGCGAGTAGATTCCAGCGTCAATGGATCTCACAGTGGTGGGAAATCCCGAGGCTTAGCTGCGACAAGTAATTTGAGCATGAATCAACCTTTGGAGGGTCACAACGGTCATGTTCAAGTGGTCACATGGAACGAGGAGCATCAAAAGTTAACTTCCAGTGATCAAAATGGAGTAATAATTGTTTGGATGCTATATAAAGGCTCATGGTACGAGGAAATGATTAACAATCGCAACAAGTCGGTGGTGAAAGGCATGGCATGGAGTTGTGATGGTCAAAAGATCTGTATAGTCTATGAGGACGGAGCTGTGATTGTTGGCTCTGTTGATGGCAACAGGATTTGGGGAAAAGAGCTGAAGAACGTTGCGCTCTCTGCCGTGCAATGGTCTCCAGATGGAAAGCTGCTTCTGTTCGGCTTGAAAAGCGGAGAAGTCCACCTTTACGACAATCAGGGTGTATTTCTGACGAAGTTGAATGTTCTCTCGTTAAACAGCAGTCAGCTGCAGACCATTATGGCGTTGCAGTGGTACGACGGCAAAAATGGCTACGTCGCCATAGACTGCCCTACATTGGCTATCTGTTATCGCAACGGCCGGATACAACTGATGCGCGATACCAACGATGATAATCCAATTACAATGGAGACCGGTCTAACCGCCTCCTGGTGTTGCTGGAATAGCTGCGGCTCACTCTTGGCGGTGACCGGCTTGATGCCGTTGCTTAGCAACGGGGAGACCAAGGACACTAACGTCATCCAATTCTACACGCCGTTCGGCGAGCATATGAGGACTTTGAAGATACCAGGCAGAGAAGTAACGTGCTGCGCCTGGGAGAAGGGTTCCCTTAGGGTCGCCTTATCCGTAGACTCGCACATATACTTCGCGAACATTCGCTTGGACTACAAGTGGACCTACTTCAGCAACACGGTTGTCTTCACAAACGAGAAGATCGGCAAGGACGGCACCTGCGTAACGTTTTGGAACACCAGCAGCAATACGTGCTGCACTAAATATGTGAGGTCCCTGATATCGATAACCTCGCACGGAGAGCACTGCGTCCTGTCTGTGAGGAATGACCCCACCCAAGCCACTGAGCAATTCGCCCTGCTCGTTTGCAACACCATAGCCACGCCCATAGACTCTAAATTCTTGGATTTGGAGCCGTTGCACTTGGCGATGACCACGAACGCGGTGGTAGCTGCCTCGAGGAACAATTTTCTAGTGTGGAATTTCCGCACACCTCGCAACTCGAGCCTGCATCCCGGCAGGATGCGCAAATATAAGATCTACCACGTGGATGAGACACCGACCGGTGTGACAGAGGTTATTCAAGATCTGGATAAGGATGGTTCCTATGAGACGCCCATCAACATGAAACCCACCGTAGATCCCATATGCTGTGTCTATGCCACCGATAAGGTTCTCCTTGTCGGTCGGGAGTCGGGAATGATCCAGCGCTACTCGTTGCCGCAAATAACTCTTTTGAACAGATACAACACCGCGTGCAGGCTGCATAAGATCGCTATAAATTGTGATTCCACGCGCGCTTCTATAATGGATGCTAACGGTATCCTCACTATGTTAGACTTGGACCCGCAGAAAACACCTGGTTCGCGAGACTCACGAGATGGAGACTCGAGTGAGGACGTGTCCAAGTTCGAGAGGAAAGACGTATGGGCCGTGTGTTGGGCGCGGGACAATCCTGCGCTCTTAGCGATCATGGAGAAGACCAGGATGTATGTCCTGAGAGGACTTGATCCTGAGGAACCTATATCCTGCTCCGGATACATCTGCTCTTTTCAAGATCTCGAGATACGTTGCGTTCTCTTGGACGATCTTGTGCTGAAGCCCGATGACACGCGGAAAGAACTGATCGTTGACCTAGAAGTGAAGTCTCTAAGAGATACGCGAGAGCTGCTGGCTAAAGTGGGCCTGAAGGAGGCTAATAACTTCATCCAGGATAACCCACATCCGCGTCTCTGGCGGCTGCTGGCCGAGTCGGCGTTAACCAAGCTGGACTTGGAGACCGCAGAGAACGCGATGGTGCGGTGTACGGATTACTTGGGTATACAGTTCATCAAGCGTCTGCAGAACGTGCACAACGATCAATTGAAGAGGGCCGAGGTAGCAGCGTTCCTCGGCGATTACGATGAGGCCGAAAAGCTGTACTTGGACATGGACAGGAGGGACTTGGCGATTGCACTGCGTCAGAAATTGGGCGACTACTTCCGAGTGGTGCAGCTCATGAAGATGGGTATCGGCGGCTCAGACAAGCAGATGGAGCATGCGTACAACAAGATCGGAGACCATTTCGCCGAGAGGCAGAATTGGGAAGGCGCCAGGGACTACTACGAGAAAGGCAGGAATCTAGAGAAACTGATTCAATGTTACTATAAGCTGGAGCATTTCCCGCAATTGGCGGCCACCGTCGATCAACTGCCGGACAAGAGCCCAATATTGAAGACCGTGGCGAGGATGTTAGCTTCGGTAGGAATGTGTTCGCAGGCAGTAGCAGCCTATATCAGGTATGGCGATGTCAAGTTAGCCGTGGACACATGCGTACGTTTGAATCACTGGGATCAAGCAGTCGACTTGGCCAAAACTTACAAAATGGCACAGATCGGTGAGTTGTTGAGCAAATATGCCAATCACCTGTTGTCGAATGGTAAACGTCTACAGGCGATCGAGCTCTACAAGAAGGCTAACTACAATTTGGAAGCGGCTAAGCTACTGCTTCGCTTAGCCGAAGAGCAGGCCAAGTGTAAATCGCATCCCTTGCGCGTGAAAAAGATCTACGTTCTTGCGGCGTTGCTGATTGAGGAGCACATCAATAACGTGCCGGCGATCAAAGGCGGCCGTAGTAATGTTGTGATGGGCCTGACCGAGAGTAACGAGGACACCAAGATCATAGAGAACGCTTGGCGTGGTGCCGAGGCGTATCACTTTTTACTGCTCACGCACAAGCAGTTGTATGACGGTAGTTTCGATGCAGCGATGAAGACTGCCTTGCGACTGAGAGAATACGAGGATATATTGGAAGTAGAAGACGTTTATTGCCTGTTGGCGCTGTCCAGCGCCGTCAACCGCGCGTTCGCCACATGCTCAAAGGCCTTCGTCAAGTTGGAGTCACTCGAGACAATCGCACCGGCGAAGAGGGAGGAATATGAGGAACTGGCGGTGGATATCTTCACCAAGCACACCCCGAAGGACTCTCGCAACAACAAGACGGAATGCGTCAATTGCGAGACCCTGGTGCCCGACTGGTGTGTCTCTTGTCCGAATTGCTCGACCAGATTCCCAGCTTGTGTCGTTTCAGGAAAACCACTGATGGATCTCAGTATCGCGTGGATTTGCACTGTTTGCAGGCATCACGTTGCAACAGAACGCGACGTCGTTAACATCAACGCTTGCCCTTTGTGTCACAGTACTATTACATACATGTAAACGCGTATGGCGTGAATATTAGTCTAGCGCGATAGAATGGTCATTTGGCGATACACGTAGTGTAATTTCGAGCAATTATCGCATTAAGTTTTGCAACGTGAATAGTTGTATAATGCATTTATTTTCTACACTGAAGCGCAAGGTCTTGTTAATTTTTATTTTATTTTCTTTGTAAGAAATGTGTCATAGAGGTAGTATCTAGTAAACATCAACCAACGGTAACATCATATTAATATTATAATTTCCCACTCAACAATATAAATGCAATATGTGTTGTATACGACAGTTATATTGTTGAGTGCGGAATTATAACATTAATGTGATGTTATTGTTGGTTGTTGTTTACTGGGACGTGTAAAAGTTTTCCCTCTCTTAGATAATAATTTCTTGAGACAAGATAAGAGTGATTCCTCTTGATAGTGTGTCATAGGAGAATTTTGTAGGTTTCTAAAGATCTATGAAATATCATGTATGTATTGCGCTGTGCGCATCAAAAGATTCCGTCCATGCGTCCGTCCAATTTTACCATCTGAGTAATAATCGAAAGTATTTTATTCCCATGCAAAATGGAGACGTTTAATATTAATTTATTTACTTAGCTTTTTCAAAATAAATTGATCTTTGAATATATAAAAATGGTCATAAATAAATTTTGACTCTTAATTAGGGTTCAATAGCGATACATATAGTGTAATTTCGAGCAATTACCGCGTTAAGTTTTGCAACGCGAATGGTTGTGTAATGCATTTATTTTTTACGCTAAAGTACAAGTGCTTGTTAATTCTTATTTTGTTTTGTTTTTTTTATGTTCTCTAGGTTGTATCATAGAGACCGTGCTTCAATAAACACCAAACAACAGTAATATCACATTAACATTATAATTTCCTACTCAACAATGCAAGTGCAATATATGTGTTGTATACAATAGTTATATTGTTGAGTGGGAAACTATAACATCGATGTGATGTTACTGCTAGTTAGTGTTTATTGGGATGTGTAAGAATTTTCCTTTTCTTAGATAATTTGTTGAAATAAGATAAGAATGGTTCCTCTTGATAGAGGATGTGTCATAAGAGAATTCTGGGAGGTTTCTAAAAAGATATGAAATATTGTATATATATTGCGCTGTGCGCCTCAAAAGATTCCGTCCAATTTTACTATTTAAGTGATACTTGGAATGTTTTATTCCCGGTGCGAAATAGAGATATTTGAAATTAGTTTATTTATTTAGCTATTTTAAAATAAAATGACGTTTGTATAATAAATCACTTGGTCTTGGCTCAATCTTTACTTATTGGAGATATTCGACATTAGTTTATTTATTTAGCTATTTCAAAACAAAATGATCTTTGTATAATAGATCACTTGATACAATTGAAAGACACTGCTAATACTGTTGCGTTCACACTGTAATTAGTTAATAAAGGAATGTATTTGAGTCTCCAAGAGGATAATAAGTTCTTGGACATGGTAGGTCATTTTTTTGTACAATATGTTACAGGAAAATTCTGTAGGTTTATAGAAATCTCTGTAGTATCACAGCCTATTAAACAAATAAAAAAATTTTGTCATGCGACAAATTTCGATTTTTATTTATGTAGCATCGTAATAAATAAATATATTTTATCTCTCTCTTTGTTTGCAGCCCTTATACTTGCGGCCGTTTCACTATAACTATTTAATATGAGGGAAATTATATGTATGAGGAAAATAATTAAAAGTATTCAAAATAGTATGAGAGGAAATTTTATAAGGGAAAGTCACAGGAAAATTAAGTTGAGAATATCGAAATAATATGAAAAAAAATTATATGAGGGAAGTCACAGAAAATTAAATTTAGAGTATTCGAGATAATATGAAGGAAATTATATGAAGAGAATATAGTCTTGGAAAATTCTAAGGTATCTTCCAAAAATCATAGGTCCGAACTTGTCCGTATACATCTTAACATAACGGCGGTCTTAACGTAAGGCCGGAATTATATTTTTTTTACTAGAACAATACAGGTGCGCGCTACGCGCGCGCTATTTAACTAATAAAAACAATAAAAAATAAAAATAAAATAAATTTAAAATATACTTATAATTAATAATTATATTAATATTTATATATTCTTCTTAATACTATCTCATTTTCACTCATTCTTCTTGATTCTCATTCTTCCTGATTCTCTCATTCACTCTCATACTCTTTCAGTCACTTTAATTTTCTACTACCCTTCCTTATTCTCTCTCATTCTTTTTCATTCACATGCATATTTTCTCATTCTTTCTTATTTTCCCTAATTCTCTCTAATTCTTCTTTAGCAATAAGAGAAAAAGAGAAATATAACGAGAAAGAAAAGTGAAAGATTTAATATAAATTTATAAGGGTGTCTCAAATTCTCCTTATCACATTAAGTGGGAATGTAGAACGGATTGAGGTAAACATAAAAGTCTCATACCGTTTTGCGATATTCGCAATCGAGAATAATAATTGATATAATAATCGAGAAATTAATTGTATAAGATTAAGGAAAAACGCATGCTGAATGGCTGAGGGTGGGGCGCTTACGGCCTAATAATATAGTGCACGGATATCGGCGCGCGGTGATTGGAAAAACAACGCACCATTGTCTGTACTTATATCGCTGCACTCTTACATCTCGCCTCGGCACGGTGCGGCAAGACGTAGGATCAGAACGATATAATACGCGCGCTGACATCTGCCTGCTATATTACTGGGTCGCAATCGCTCCTCTCTCAATCATTCAGCGTGCGTTTTTCCTCAATTTTTACAATTAATTTCTCGGTTATTATTACGAATATCGCAAAATGGTATAGGACTTTTATATTCATCTCAATCCGTTCTACATTTCCACTTAATGTGATAAGGAGAGTTTGGGACATGCTGTATATAAATTTATATATAAATATAAGTTTATATAAGTGATAATTATTTATATATATAAATTTTTTATACTTCTTTCTCTCTCTACATTTCTCTCCTTTTTTTACCATTATATATCTCCTTTTTTTCTTTTTCACTTTTTTATTCTCACCGTATTTATTTTTCTTTTAATAGCTCAAAATTTATTGCATTTAGCTCCCTCTCTCTCTCTCTCTGTCTCTCCATCTCCCTTCTCTCTCTCCCTCTTTCCCTCTCTCCCTTTCTGTTTAATAATGAAATGTAACGGTAACAACGTACTTTTTTTATGAATAACGAGTTACAATAATGAGTTACTTTTAAAAAATAATCTTTCCTATTTTACTAACTTGCATCTATTTTCTATCTTCTTACGTCTTTTCTATTTTCTGTTACTTATCTATCTGTACTGTCTTCTCTCCTTATATTTTTTCTTTTTCTTCGCGCTTTCTGTACTTTCTTTCATTATTCCTTTCTTCGTGTCTTGTTTAACTAAAAATAATAAAAGTATAAACATAAAATATCCTAGTTCTATATCCTTATATATTATGTAAAGCAATACTTATTTTTTATCGCGGCAGACAAAAAAATTTATTTATTTATTTATTATTTATCCTTTTATTCATTCATTCTCTTACTTATTCATATATTCTTCTTGTCTTTTCATCTCACTTTCATGGTTTTTTTACCGCCTTATCATTTATCTTTATTTTCTCTGTCTCCTCTTCATTTCTTCTCGCATATTCTCTTCTCTTTCCTTTTCTTTTCTTCTCTTTTTCTTTCTCTTTCTCTTTTATTTTTTTATTATTTAATTTAACTATAAAAAGTAAAAACGACACAAAGTATTCAAGTTTTATATCGTTAAATATTTTTATGTATTCCCCTTAAACACACTTCGCAACTTTTAAAACTATTATACATTAAAAATATAACCTCGTTATTACCCTATTCTTGAACGCGCGAACTGTCACTCAACTCCGCCACGATGATAGCCGCGCATGACGCGAAGCCGGCCGCAACGCGAGATCAAGACAACCAATCAGCATCACAGAAAAAAGTCCTCAAAGTTTCGATACGAACTGTATTATTTCATTTAACATGCGTTCTTTTAGAGAGGATCTTATGATGTATCTGAAAACTAGAAATTTTAAGTTGCAAAATGTTTTTCGTATTATCTAATTATTATTACTTTTCTCGAAGTTACTGCTAGATTGATCAAAAGACAAATGATTTCAGTAGAGGAAGCTGCTTTGTAACTGTTGTAAAATTCTGATTGGTGTACTACATGTGCGATTATTATTATTATTCATTGCTATACTTATAGTCGGTTTGAGTCATGCAATTGCCTTGGAAAAAAATATCTTGATATAATATAAAGAAGGACAAGAGAGACCCAAACACCGATGCACAAGCAAAATTTAATCTTAAATTTCTATACAATATAATTAAAATTTCAAACGTTTCAGTCCTAGATTTGCACCCTCTTCAGTGACTAAATGTATAATGATAAAAAAAATTATAAGATGTAATAACAATGAACATGGATCACTATCTTATGAATTACATCCGTAGTGCAAAATAAGTCCGAATGCCATGAACTACGTATGTGAAAGATGATTGTTGCCTTTAACAAATTTTTATTGAAAGTAAATTAATAGTATCTAAAGATTTACGTTAAAAATTCTTATCAGGTAGTCATCTCTAATGATAATCTTGGGATCCGTCTGACAAGGAAACATAGGCAACCCGAAAATTCAGAAAATTCTGAAAAATTGTTTCAGAAAATGCTTATCTATAGCTTGCTGCCTATAGTTCTATGTTATCATCTCGATTTCTTCAAAATTTAATCGCGACAATTTTCTATTGTTATGTATGGATGGATTTGGTATTTGATGCACTTTTTATTTTTGTCCTAATAAGAACTTAAAAAGTAATTGTAAAGGTAATGAGTGGGGAAGGAGGGTTAAAAAATTTTTAATTTTTGAAAAATCTGAATATATCGTTACAAAGAGTATAAAATACTCTACAACTTTTACATAAACTATTTTTTCATATGCATTGTATTTTAGAAAATATTCGCTAAAAATCAAAATGTCATATTTTTTCGAGGGGTGGTTTCACCCCCTAAATCGTAATTTAGCAGCAACAAAAAATAGTTTTATGTTACGGGTGAACTACTCTATTTGCACACAATGTTTCAGAATTTTCTAAATTTTCGGGTTGCCTATGTTCCCTTGTGAGTTACAATAGTTATGTTAATTTATAGCAAACGGTTGAATTATGAAACGTGATATATTGTTGATTAATTTAAGATTACAAATTATATAGTAGTAATCATGAATCTCGAGACCACAAAAAGAATCCTTGTATACATCAAACTAAATCAAAACAATGGTAGTCTACTAATGATCGGGGAGTAATCTTTGTTTAAACTAATAGTGTCTTTATATAAATTGAGATTATTCTTTTGGTACTTAATAAAAATCACTTAAAAAATGTTCTTTTAATATTTGATTTTTCTCTGGCAAGTATTTTTACACTGTCTCAAATGAATTGAAATCCCTCGAATCTGTGTAGAGAAACAACAGAATATTCCTTCAGAAGTTAAGTCTAATACTAATAATCATTATGTCTAATATTGGCTTGATAGTGTTGTCCATTAGTAGAGTAATGAACGCTTTCCTAGAAATCGACTATTGAAAAAATACAATAATTTACTCGTGTAAGAAATTAGCTACTTCGAGCATAAATTTTGCCAAGAGTCCCTTATAGAAATATCATACTAAGAATCATTGATAATTACTTATTTTCAGTATTAAAAATACTGGATAATAAGTAATTATCAATGATTCTTGACTCTAGTATGATATTTCTATAAGGGGTGGTAGCACTGGAGATTCAAAAGAAGGGAGGACATCTTTAAAAGCGCGTCCTAAAATATTGCAAAGAGAAGAAAGTTAGAGAGTGAGCGTGGAACAAGAGATAGAATTGAGAAGAAAGTTAGAGAGCGAGCGTGGAGCAAATAGATAGAATAGAGAGGGAGGGGAGTAAAGTAGAGAGGTAGATAGAATCGGGCGAAAGAGCGAGAGAGAAGGAAAGTGAAAGTCTTAGGCAGAGGACTTAGACAAGAAAGAAGAAACGAAGAGCGAAAGTTAAAGTAAGATAGAATATTAAGCTACTAACGAGGAGATAGAATGAAACAACAGCACTAGCCAATCTAGAACAGTGTGAATTTGTAGGTGTATGTGAAGAGTCACGCGAAAGCAGTTCGGAAATTCTTGTATCGCAGATTATGATAAAATCCGTATCCAAGCGCAACTTTTATCTGTATTTAATAATAAACTCTATTATTATTCGTGTATATTACTGTGAGTTGAAAAGTTATTTGAACAATTTCCAAGTACAATTTTCAAAGGTAACATCAATCATTCCAGCGAAGTCAGAAAAAGAAATTGCTTGAAGACGTATATTCTGACGAGGACTTTTATACTCGAATCCCAAAGGTAATTCAGTTAACTAATCTATCTTTTCTTCTGAATTTTTCAGGAGCGCGGTCGCGGCGCGACGCCGACGTATCGATCGAACAAAACAATGCGACCGTGTAAGCTTATCTGGAATTTCTGGGTTGATTGGTCTTCTGAGTCAAATATCTTAAGCACGAAAACTATAATCAAAAATCTAATAAAAATTTTCTTATATAATATTTAGCGTAATTTGCACCAAATTTAATTAAAATTGATACAGGCAATACGGAGATCTCGAAATCTCGTCCGCTAAAAAGCCTTTTTATTTTTGCGCAGATTCTCATTTTTTTCGCACACAAGTGAATCAGTTTGTCCATCAAGCCGCATTTGCATCGCCAAGCGATTTAGCTTCAGATCACACGTATACGCACGCATACAAGCGACGCGCGTTTGCCGTCAGATTGCGTTTGTAATATATATAGGCTGCAATAAGCACATGTTCATGAATTTACGCTAGACTAGAGGAAAAGATTTATGATCGACTATTAGATGTACATATCAAGCTGTAATTACAATTTTAAGTATATTTTCTTATATATAGTTTTATATCAATTTGCGCTTGTGAGGTCCGCGATCCGCATTGCAAACATGTAATCTAAATTTAAAATTAATTGAGAGAAAGAAAAGATTTTCGTAAATGAAATTATAAAGATTTCCGTACTGACTGATCCACCAATCAGAATGGACGCAAATTACGTGTGCAATAAATATTAAATCGATCATGTATCTTTTCGTTTAGCGTAAACTCGTAAATAAAATAAAATAATTTGATTGATAAATTTAAAAAGTTTAATGACAATTATGACTGCATCTCGATATTTACTACGAATACTGAAGATCTATAGTTTGTATCATGTACACGTATGAAGTTTCAGTACTGGTAGTGAATATTGGAACGCAGTTTGCGAGTTCACATTATTACTAAGTTTTCTCCACAATAAGTACATACTTTTTCACTATTTCAAGTTGTAAAATTGTATTATATTAATTTTTGTGAAGTATATGATTTTTCCAAATTTTCTGGCAATTGAAGTAATAGAATATGATTTGATTGAATATCTATATTTGTAGCACATTTTACTATAAAATTTTCTTCGTGTAGTTATGTATCTTTTCTTCTAATGTAATCTCGCAGGCTGCGTTTCAATATTCACTGTCAATACTGAAACTCTATACGTATATGTGACATAAACTAAAGGTAGATCTTCAGTACTGGCAGTGAATATCGAAACGCAGTCGTAATCATTGAACTTTATTGATTTACGAATTTACGCTAGACGAAAAGATACATGATCGATTTAATATTTATTATGTACGTAATATGCGTCCATCTTGATTGGTACAATAAACATTAAATCAATCATATATCTTTTTGTCTAGCGTAAACTCGTAAGTAAAATAAAACAATTTCATTGATAAATTTAATAAAGTTCAATGATAATTACGACTGCATTCCGATATTCACTACCAGTATTGAAGATCTATAATTTGTGTCAAGTATACGTATAGAGTTTCAGTACTGGAACATAGCCTGTGAGTTCACATTAGAGGAAAAGATACATCACTACACGGAGGAAATTTTCCAGTAAAATGTACTACAAAATTGTCTATGCTGAAAAAAGTGTAAATTCAATTACATCAGTGTGATTGGAATATATTTTGTTGATTTAATAACAATATTATTAAAACCAATAAGCTAATAATTAACCCTTATAGAAATATCATACTAAGAATCATTGACAATTACTTATTATCCAGTATTTTTAATACTGAAAATAAGTAATTATCAATGATTCTTAGTATGATATTTCTATAATGGTAAATAGCATAACTTATTGATTTTCATAATAGTGCTACTGAATTGATAAAATATTTCCAACCACATTGATGTGACTGAATTTATATTTTTTTTTGTACCTTCGGAAATAAATTCTACGTATTATTTATTATTAAAAATCTTTTTTTTATTTTTTTTATAAATTATATATATAATGTTTACTTATTGCCCCTTTTTTCGCGCGGGACAAAAAAATAATATGGTGCTGATAATTTGTATAAAAAATTGAGAAGGTTATTTATTTTGTTTATTGTATTATTTCATTGTATTCTTTGCCAATGTCTTCGTCTTCTCACATCTGTAACATAATATTTTAAATGAATGATAGAAAGTAATCATTTAAATTTACTTTATTGTGCATGCGTATGTGTGTTGTGTGTACTGCGTGCATACGTACATGTATGTACATGTGTATTCTGCCGCGCGGTTGCTACCGCACAATAGTGTCTGTACGAGTCGCATGTTCTATATCAGATACTAAAGCTCTAAATACATTTCCAGTACGTAGATTGGCAGGTGATCAATATCTCCAAAATATTAAACAAGATGCTGGTCAATTTATAATAGATCTTATTAGTAGTATAAATGGTATGAAGAATATAACAGAACATCATATATGTGTAAAAACATGATGCAAAATATGTAATTATACGAATATAGAGATCCAGTCAAATCATATTCCATTACTTCAATTGCCAAAAAAACTAGAAAAATCATATACTTTACAAGAATTAATAGAATATAATTTTACAAGTTGGATAAATAGTAAAAAAGTATGTACTTATTGTGGAGAAAACACAGTAATTGAAAAACAAGAGATAATAACAACAAAAAATATTTTTATTTTAAAATTATGGTTATTTAAAACCGCTAATAACAAAACGTTTAAAATCACAAATTTTAAAATTAAAGGTGTATCTACGTCAAAGGTACGTATAGTAGAGATGCCCAATTCTTAAATATTATATAAATATTTTATGTACATAAAGAAAAAAGCTATCAAATCTTTATTCAAAATATTACTAAAATATAGACTAAATATTTTATACAATATATATAGTAAAAATAAATAAATATGTTCAGTAATATTTTATAAATATTTTATGTACATAAAGGAAAAGAGTATCAAAATATTCAAAACATTATTAAAATGTAGACTAAATATTTTATATTTATGGTAAACAAAAAATAAATATTTGTGGTAATATTTTGTAAATATTTTTATAAATTACACAAAAAAAATTATATAATTTTTATAATTATTTGATTAATAAAGAAATAAAAAAATCGAAATTTAAATTGGTAATATACAATAAAAAAACTTTTTCAATTAAAGAAATATATTTTGTTAAATATAATTTCTTAACTTAAAAAATATTTGTTGGAAAATATGTAAGAAATATAGTGTAATATTTTTTTTAATTTGTAAAATAAACCGTAAAATTATGAATTTCTAGATAAAAAAATTATTTTTTTGATTTACAATATCTATTTATAAGAATAAGCAAATAATTTCCTTACATACAAGAAAATTAGTTTTTTAATGTAAACGTTGTATTCAAATAAATATTTGCTTCTTTCAAAAGTAAATGAAATATAAATAAATCATTTTATAAATTTAAATAAATTATTTTCTAATATTAAAAGTATCTTTTTTGTGTTTCAAATTAAAGTTTCTTTTATTATCAGAAAATAATTTATTTAAATTTGCAAAATGATTTATTTATATTTTATTTACTTTTAAAACAAGTAAATATTTTTTAAATATATTTTTTAGATACTTTTTAGAAGGATCTTTTCTTATCTTTTCTTTTAACTAAATAATTTGTTTTGGTACATGGATATACCATATGTACACAATATGAAACATTTCTCAGTCAAAGTAACAATGGCGCAGTAGGTAAGGTGAACGACTCAAGAACCAGAGATCTCAGGTTCGAATCTCAACAATGGTAAGCAAATTTTCGAAATACAATTTAAATTGAATTAAGTGACGTGTGAAACAATAAAGAGAAAGGAGAGTGAAGGATTTAAAAAAAATCCAGGAAAAGAGAAAAATTTATATCATTACAGAAATATATTAAGAAATACTGAAAAATTATTAGTGATTAAGTATTACCAGTAATTTTTTGGCCAGTACTTAATTTCTGGTGAACACTGATAATAAAATCACTGTTAAATATTGATAGTAATCAAATACTGAGAATTATTGCGCGAAAGTGAAAAATAAGAAAATCATAATATTTAAAAAAATATACTTGTATATTCCTAATTTTCTCATGTGTCATAAACCACTAGGTATCAAAGGTTATTAACACTCCAAACTTTGGTGAATCTTCCAGCGATAATTTCGATCCCAAGCAGTATACTACCGGTCACCCCATCCATGTCCTGACTGCGTTAAACTGTTACTTAAACTGACGATCGAGCGCGCACGCGGTCTCTAATGACTCCAACAATGTTTTTACAATTTATGCTTATATAATATATCCTTATAGTATTCTAGTATTAATGACTGCCACTAACAAGTACTATTGATGTGAAACATCACTGAATTTGAAATACAAATAAAAAAAATAACTATTGGTAGTACAAATTAGTTCAGTCTGTTTTTTTGTGGTCAAAAATGCATTTATTTCAGAACAAAATGAATGAACATATTAATCAAAGTATTGTTCATCGCTGGCTACTACTTTTTCCCATCTCTCAGGCAATTTTCGAATTCCATCTCGGAAAAATGTCTCGTCTTTTGAGGTGAAACAAGTTAAGAGCCAATTTTCGATTTCTGCGAAAGAAGTGAACCGGTGACCTGCCAAATCGTGCTGCATCCGTCGGAACAACCAGTAATCAGAAGGAGCAATGTCCGGCGAATACGGCGGGTGCGGTAAAATATCCCACTTGAGCGTTTCCAAATAATTTTTTACGACTTTTGCGACATGAAGCCGAGCGTTATCATGCAGAAGAATAACTTTGTCATGTCTTTGCTCGTATTCCGGCTGTTTTTCTCGTAATGCACGGCTCAAACGAATCAATTGTAGCCTATACCGATGGCCCGTAATGGAATCGCCAGGTTGTAGCAGCTCACCTTTATAGAAATATCATACTAAGAATCATTGATAATTACTTATTTTCAGTATTAAAA